CGTACCTGTGTGCGACGTTGCCGTGCCTGCCATAACCTACTAATCAAACGGTCTGACATACCAACGCGATTTTATTATCACGTTTCTCTATCAAGATTGTGTTTTGTTTCGCTTCTCGGCACACTTGATGCCTTGCATCACAATCGGCGTAAAATTCATTTGGTGCATATCGTTATGGCTGTTTTTCTTTCAACGGGCGTTAAGTTCTTCGTATTTCTATGTAACACGCATTAAATTAGTATTTGAACAGTTACGGTGAATTTTTTTGATCGTTTATTGGCTGTAGAGAGCAGAAAAAACGATTTTATTATCCATTCAACTGTTATGTTTATTTATACAACTAATTAAACATAATTTGCCAAAGTTATAAATAATCTTCATTTGAGGGGGACGTGTCCTACTGCTCTATTTCCTTCCACTTTGTAATTTAAAGTTTGTTTAGCTATACAGCTAGGGACTGAGATCCGATTTTTCATCTTTTCGTGATATAATAAAATACTATTAGCAATTACCAGGGCAAGAACAATTAGTTGGGTAGTGCCTTTTTGCTTTCCCACCTGTAATTTTAGTTACTCCTAACACGGAGTACCACTGTTGGTATTACAATTGAAGGGGTGAGTGGATGAAGGGAGTAAGTAACAAAAGTAAGTTTTTGAGAAATTTAACTCAAAGTTTTATTGCTGGAACTTTTTTATTAATCGATTTTTTAAACCGATTTTTTTTATTCTCAAAAATCCCCCGATTTTTAAAAACTTATTTCAAAAATATATGTTTGTACTCCTCTTTTATCCAAAAACTTTTTTGTGTTAGAAATTATGTCTATGCCAAAATGAAGGGGGTATGTGGACTTACCTCCTTTATCTAGGATAAATATTTGCATTTTTTTTTTTGAATAAGCGCTATAATCAGGAAAAAAATAACATGGATGTCAAGTAAACACTTATATTTTTGGTTTTACAAAGGAAAGACAAACACTGAATTTCTAAGCAGCTTTTGAATAATTCTAAGGATATTGTACCACCTTAGTGTACCACCTAAAAGACTATTTCTTGCGAATTTCTTAAGATTTTTGTCTCGCAGGTCTTGATTTGTCTCTTCTTGGCACTATTAATGTCATTTATAGATACTGAAAAGTTACAAAATCTAAACTCATTTTATGCTTAATGCAAACGTTTTCGATTACTCAATTGTTTCACCTCAAACAGTCAACATAACCAAAAACTCACAGCAAATAGATGCTGATAGCGGAATCACGCATGCGCAAACACTCAACAACTTACTTAAGCCTGTTTAAAAAAGAACAAGGCATGACTAAAGCACTTTTGGAAAACATTACTGATTTGTTATCTGTATAGTATACTTGCCTTAAGCGGTTATGGCATGAATTTATTTTCTAATGTTAGAAATAATGCTTTAGAATCAGATCCAACTAAAACCGCAAAATGTAAAAAAAATGACTTAGCCCTTTTGGAATCCACCTCTTCAATTGCATATTGGATCTTTTTAGTGATACTGGTTGGCACTATGTGTGCATGAAAGTCTGTTAACGAGTCAACAAGTAGTTCATATTGTAACCAGACATTATTATTATAATAAAAACAAACTGTGGCTGTGAACCCACACCCTCCTAAATTATACTCTTTCATTAAACTACACAAACTGGATCACCCAATAAGACCTATAGTTTCTTTTTATATAGCTCCGTCATATACTTTCAAAAAAAACTGTTAGAGATATTTTAGAACACGCTAACTTTTCATCTAAATTTACTATAAAAATACAATAGAACTAGTAAAATACAACATTTTCAATTACCTAGCAACTCCAGATTAATTTCATTTGACGTAAAAAATCTTTTTTCTAGTATTCCTCCTACAGAAACCTTTTTTCTAGTAAAAAACCTTTTAGACCAAAATAGTACAATCCATTCATTACATCTAAAATTTTACACCTTCTTGAAATTTGCATAAACCAGGACTATTGAATTTAATAATCAAATATATACAAATAACAGTGCAGGACTTATAATGGGCAATCCTTTTACCCATTGTTATCAGATATTTTTATGGATCATCAAGAGACAAAGATTTCAAAACATCCCATATTCAAACAGTTCTTATATTGGTGGAGATATGTAGACGAAGTACTGGTATGTTTCACAGGAACTAACAGGCAACTTCACCAATTTTATCATATATTAATTCACTTCATAGTCATATTGAATTTACAATAGAAACAAAACAAAATCAATCCATAAATTTTTTAGATTTAAAAATTATTAGACTTAAAAACACACATGATTTCTCCATATTTCATAAACCTACCCATACTGACACGACTATACACAGTTAATCATCCCATCTCACACAACATAAACTGGCAGCCTATCATAGTATGTTACATAGATTAACAGAAATTCCGATGTCAAAATACAACTTTGAGATAGAATATCAATAAACAATGGATACAACGAACAAACAATTAATAAAATTTTAAATCAAAAACTACACAAGAAAGCCCTGAAATTAGTATTTCCACCACCAGAGAAAAAACCCAGTACCTTCTGCTCTATTACATATACAGGCAAAATATCAACAAAAATAGCCAAACATATAAAAAAGAAAGGAATAACACCAGCTTTCAGAACAAATAAAAACTTGGGCAAATATATTAAAAACAACAAGAGCCAAAATAAAAAACACTTACACAGTGGTGTGTACAAACTTAAATGTGACGACTGCCTAAAAACTTACATCGGTCAAACTGATAGAAATTTTAATAAACGAATAGCAGAACATAAAAGTATTCCAAAAATAGATCACTTGAGAAAGGCAATGAGCCGAAACTGCTGTAGTGATAAGAGTTTATAATAAATTTTGTGGAAGTTTTGAAAACAAGTTTTCAGTGTTTTATTGGTACATAAAATGAATTTCCATCAAGTAAGGATCGAATCCATCAATTATATAATACAAACGTTTACATTTATTAACATATCCTTTGTAATAATTCCATCTTTCGCACATCCTACGTGTTCCTAGAACCGTAACTTATTAAAAGAAATATCCGAAAAAAACGGTAGACCAAAATAGACATAAACATATTTTGTTTACATTTCCAATTTTTCAATGCAAATTCAACATTCCGTTCTACTATTTACATCAAACGATTGGAACGTAGGTAACTAAATTTAGAAAATATTTCCACTTTCTAGAAACACTTGTTAACAAAAAAAAGAACTGTTTAAATATAATACTCCACGAATCTGATTTTCCAAAAATACATAGAGAGTGTGTTTCTGTTTTGACAAGTGTGGCAGGTGTGTTGTTTAACAATTTATTTGCATTAAAACATTTAAAATGTTATTGTCAGGAAATGTGTGACTATATAAACTGGCGCCACAATACGTAAGAAGCATTGACAACATTGCTTGAATATTTTTTGTTATAATTATTGCCAGTAAACTTGTAGCAGTGTTTCACATAACGGATGATTATGTTTTAACTAAGTAGGTAGCATAAAACAAAAATTTTGTTAATTTAAATTATTTTGTTTTATTGCTTCATATCGGTAGTTAAATACTGATGAATAGACAGGCAAATATGCAAAAGAGTGAAAAATATACACTCCCAAAAATATAAGTTGCATGAGATTTTAGAAAAGTTGCATGCAGTCGATAGAAACATAATACAGTCCATCTAGAAAGTATCCAGAATTTTATATTTTTCGGAATTCTAATAGATTTTCTTTTTGTAACATTTTAAAACAAAAGTAATGCATCAAGTAGGTTATGGACAAAATCGCATGACAAAACCATCTGTCAAATATTGTTGTTTGTAAACAGACTTAAGATTTGTGAAATAATGTCGCAAGTAGAAAAAAGAAAAGTGGTGGAATATTTGTATAGAAAGGGTGTCCGAAACGTTAAAACATTTGTGCAATTGACTGAACTCGGAAAAAGTGCAGTGTAAGAGACAATAAAGAGGATAAAAAATGGAATAGATATGAGACATACACCAGTTTCGGGTAGACCGCGTAAAATTCGCGGAAACAATTTTTTAAATGCTTTAGTGGCTTTAGGACGACAAAATCCGTACCTAGGGTTCGGACAAAATCCAGAAAAAATCCCTACAATGACACCTCTGCAAAGGCAACGAAGAATAGATTTTTTTCAATGTTTTCGAGAAGATAATTTTAATAATGTCTTTATATCTGATGAAAGTTGTTTCCAACTTGGTGCAAATCATCTAAAAGTCCTATCAAGATAAAATGTTACCGTTCAAATTTCCAAATTTCCCACTAAATTAATGGTTTGGGAAGCAATATTTCAGCGTGGTGCTACACCTCTCTGTATAGTTAATGGTACTGTTGATAGTCCGAAATAGTGTGACATCCTAAATTGTTTTCTTCTTGAAACGGCTCATGTTTTATATCCAGAGGGGTTTCGTTTTTAGCAAGATAATGCAAGATGCCATACTTCTGCTTATACCCAAGCTTGGATGCAAGAACACGAATTGGCAACAATTCCGTGGCCAGCAGCATCTCCAGATCTTAGCCTCATTGAAAACATATGGGGACTGATGAAGATTGAAGTGAAACGAGCAGCGCCACGAGATAAAGAAGGTTTAATTCTCAGTTTTACAGGCCTGGAACACCGTTACCGAAAATTATGGCCTTGACCTAGTTGTACCTGAACGTTTAGTTAAGTGTTTAGATTTAGATGGAGGTTGTATAAGTAAATGAGATGAATTATTTGTTGAAATTTTATATTTGAAGTGATAGAAATAAATACCGTAAAATTATAATTCTGCTTTCTTTTTTCCAGATAATTTCTAGACGGACAATAGTACGTATTCATACACGTGTACTAGGTCTCATAGTATCTTCCAGCCACATCCAGTCGCTGCCAAAATTTAACCATCAAAGCATAAACAATTTTATATCTATCTATTAGTTGATACTAAGTTCAGTGAATAGAGTTTAATGTTTTTTTTTTGTTACAGGACCAGTATGACAACTTGTCTCTGCACACGTTGAAAGGAATAGACTTTTTGGAAAAGTATGGACAGTTCGTTAGGGACAGAGCTACTATAGAATGTGAATATGCTTCAAAATTAAGGTAAGCCAACTTTGCTAACGATTTTTTAACGAACGCTGTTGAAATATTCAGGAGAGTCCGACAGGGATGTATACTATCTTTTATTTTCTTCAATATTTATGTTAAGAAAATATTAGTGTATAACTCATCATGAATAGTGAACATTCCTCATCATTTTCTGGATTTTAATGTCTGTAATTTCAAAACTATCCTATCATTAAATGAGAAATGTGATTGACCATTTACCACTTTGTATAAATACGTGTTCTCAAATGTTTTTTGAGGCCTATTGTGTAGTATGAAGTCAAAACTTGGTGTTTTAAAGTGAAGAGATATTGCTTTCAAGGAGTGTCGTAGAAAGAGAATTTTTGAATATGGCAAATCATCGAGAAAATATATTAACTGGAACATGTGTTGAGGGGATCGCGATACTCGTTACCAAAACCTATATTACAAGGAAAAATGGAGAAAACGTAGACCTGAAAAAAAAAATAAAAACATTCCTATATGACATATAATAAATTGTATTTAACTGTATCATATCGATCTTTCATTCTGTCACTGGCTAACTGGATGTGAGGTTGGGCAAGTTCATGAACGTTGTTCATTCTTAACTTCAGGCGTTCGGCATATTCTTCGCTTGCAACATGTTTCTTCGAAAAGTTTGCAGCTAAACTCCAGGTGGCAGAGCAAAGGAAGTTCACGACCCAACTTCAGGCAGGTTGGAGTCTGGCCTGTAGTTTCATCCACGGCCGAGCGGTAGGCCATTACGAATAAATGAATGTGCGGTTCCAATCTTTTTGATGTTCGGATACAACTTTGAACGGGTGTTTACCCATCTTTCGGTTCATCCTCTCAACCATTCCATCTGATTGAGAATGCAGGTTTATTGTTCTGGTCTTATTGACACCAATCAATTTACAAACGTATTTGAAGAAGGTTGATTATATCCAAGGGAGCACCAAATTGGCTGAAAAATTCTTTAACAAGTACCTCTGCAACGGTAGCAGCTTCTTAATTTGGTGTAGCATTAGCCTCATTCCATTTTGTAAAATAATCCATAGCTACAAGGATACATTTATTTCCATCATCTTCTTTACAGTTCACCCAATAGAACCATTCTCGAACCTTGGGCAAGAGTCTTCGGAATACCAAAGTGTCTCACAATTATCTCAAAACAATTATCTCAAATTATCTCAAAAAATTATCTCACACCATTACACCACTGTAATGTGTTTAACAAATAAATCGAGCGGTTCTAAATCTATAAGTTTATATTACCATAATATCAAAAAACTTCTAATAACAGTGCTCCGGTATATAAAATATATAGTAAATACATTATTTCGGAAACTATCTGGAGTAGTCCATTTTTATTCCCCCTTGTGAGTATCTTCTCGAAGGCAGGGCGCTATTGATAACGCAACGCCAGAATTCGTATATTCTGGAGTCATCTCTGAGAATTGTGACACATACCACGCGTCAGAGATACGCTGGATATTTGATCCAATGTATGTTCTTTTTGTCATGTTTTATTTCTCTGGTAAAATAACTTCATGTTTTCTGCGACTGAGGCGTGCAACTCAAGTTTATACTCTCTACTAATTTCCATTTTATGTTTTATTTTATGCAGTTGACCGAAATGACAACTAACATGCTATTCGAATCAGTGGTAAACCATTCAGCAAAGGTTTTTTACAGTTTCAGCAAACTTCCCAAATATGTAATTCGTCACCCCATGTTTATTTCATCAATATACTCCCAATAGTATATCTATTATTAGCCTGAATGCTAATACCGATATGCCAATTTAATAATTCCAGATTGATACCATTAATATTAATATAGTTTATGAATGGGACTAACCTTAAACCACACCCACCGATGCATTACGAAAATCCTAATGATTCGAATCTGTTAACGCCATTAATTCTGACCTAGACGTCACTTAAACTGGAACATCTGACCATGAGTTTATGGATATTACTATTCATTAAATTTGCTAGTAGAGATTGATATGTCTCGAATAATTTTATTGATGATACAATTTCCAAAAAGGTAGAATACGAGGGAAATGTGATCAATTTCCGACCGTGGCATTGATGGCGCTGTTAAAAATTAAGTTACTGTTTTTTTTTTATTTTGGTTTTATCTTTTCAAGTGTAAAAATAAAATGTGAATTTAATCAAGTAAGAAGTTTGTTTGATACAGCTCTTTAAAAAATGTGTAGTGTGTTTTCATAAAATGATTTAATTCCTGGATGTCTATAATCTATAACATCAATAATCTAGTAAAAAAACTTTATCACTTATTAGTTCTCTTAGTAATCTAGAGTGGTAGCTTGCGTTATTCATTCAACAGCAAATGATAATACATAAAAAGTTTAAAAGGGAACGTGGAGTACGTCGAGGTGACAATCTTCTTCTTCTTCCTTTGCCCTATCCGTTTAGGACGTTGGCTATTAACAAGGCTATTTTGACTTTGTTTACGGCACCTCTGAACAGTTCGGTTGATGTAAGTCCGAACCATTGTCGCAGGTTATGCATCCATGAGTGTCGTCTTCATCCCGGTCCCCTCCTACTGTCGATTCTTCCTTGGACTATTAACTGTAGCAGCCGGCACTTAGTATGCCTCATGACATGTCCGAAGTACTCAAGCTTCCGTTTCTTTACGGTGAAGATTATTTCTTTGCTTTTGCCTATTCTCTGCATTACTTCTACGTTAGTGATGTGGTCTGTCCAGGATATCCGAAGAATACGGCGATATATCCACAGCTCAAAGGATTATAGTTTCTTCAGGGTGGTTTCCGTTGTGGTCCATGCCTCTGCTCCATAGAACAAGACCGGGAAGACATAACACTTGACCAGTCTTAATTTTAGTTCCATTGAGATTTTGCTTGTAAACCACTTTTTCATATTGTTGAACGCGTTTCGCGCTTTTTCAATTCGTGATCTTATTTCTGTTGACTGGTCCCATTTTGTGTTGACTGTGGTTCCAAGGTATGTGTATGTCTCCACTTGTTCTATTTTTCGGTTGTTTAATGTCAATTGCATTGGAGGTTGTTGTGTTCTGCTGATGAGCATGCATTTAGTTTTGGTTGTATTGAGTTCTAAACCATATTCTTGACTTGCTGTGTGTATGCTTTGCATGAGTCTTTGAAGCTCGTTGCAGTCATTTGCGATAATAACTGTGTCGTCAGCATATCTAATATTATTGATTACCTCTCCGTTTACTTTGATACCCTCCGAAACTTCTCCCAGTGCTTCTCTGAAGATTTGTTCAGAGTATATATTGAACAGGGGCGGCGAGAGGACGCATCCCTATCGTACACCCTTTTTAATATCTATCTTCCTACTGTGTAAGTTGCCCATCTTTATCTCAGCACTTTGGTTCCAATAGAGACTGGTTATTATGCGCAGATCCTTGCCATCAATATGCATCTTCCTGAGCATTTCCATGAGTTTATCATGTTTGACCTTGTCGAACGCCTTGGAGAAGTCGATGAAGCACAAGTGGACGTCCTTGTGCATGTCTCTGCATCTTTGAATTAAAACTTGCAGACTGAAGATCGCCTCTCTTGTGCCCAATGCGCTTCGGAATCCGAACTGTGACTCCGATATATTTGCTTCGCATTTGTTATATATTCTATTTTGTATGATTTTGCTGAAAACTTTCGTAATGTGATTTATCAAGCTTATTAAGCGGTATTGATCACAGTATTTTGCACTTGGTGTTTTAGGTGACAATATCTCTCCAAAACTGGAAAGAAAAAATTCAAATCTATTCGAACAAGCTGTTTGGCTGTGTTTGGTTGGAAGATGTCTTCTTTATTTCAAGACGAAACGCTGCTCTACGAATTAATTGGCTTTTCGAGCATTATTTTAGATCACAGAATAATTTAGTATTTCGTGAAAGAATAAGATGATAGAACGAGTTCATAATTGTATCTATTTATGGGCAAACATTAACGAAACAAACGATTATACCAAAGAAATTAGAATAGAAAAGGCTAGAAGTGTATTCAATAATATGAAACAAATATTATGTCTCTTGAGACCTCAGCCTAAATCTTAGAAAACGAGTACTTAAGTATTATATATTTTCTGTTCTTTTGTATAGTGTGGACACGTGGATTTTAACTAAACAATGTCTCAATAAATTGGAAGCATTTGAAATGTGGACTTATCAAAAAGAATACTGAGAATATCCTGGACAGACAGAATAACCAATGGAGAAGTACCAAAAAGAATAGAGAACAGCAGAGAGATACTGGATTCCATCAGAATAAGAAAACTAGAATATCTGGGTCATATAACACGTGGTGAAAGATTCAAGGAAAGCGCAGCATATGCGGTTTTGAAAACTTTAGGATAGCATTACAAGATACTGATTGGTCAGTGGCTTTATTTTTATTTCTGTTTCCATTAATATGATTCCTCAGTTCCACACAGCTTATGCTGAGTTACCAAAAACCAGTTATCGTATTATAGTCCATCTTTAGGATCCTTCGGGGTTTGTGATTGATTATGATTTTCTGTTTTGTAATTTGACACGTACCAATGTGTTTTATTTTAGTTGGCTGGTTGTTTGGTATGAATATTTGGATTATTGTTAGTTTGGATTGTTGTTTTCGCTATGTACTAAGTCTATAGTGTATGTGTATGTTTTTCCTGAGTCAAATAAAAGCCATTAAAGTCGTTACAGTGTTTTATTATCATAAGAAATACAGAATTCTTCAGTGTGCCGACATAATGAAAAACCGTTTAATTATTATAATGATAATTCCACACCTTGCAAAATATTACGCCTCAGCGTTGTGGAATATCTGTGAGTCATACGCCCTGCGCAAAAATACCTCTCATTAAGCAACTATTTCAAATGAATTGCTGCTGTTGTGTATGTACATACACAAAATAAATATTTATATTATTTTTTAGGTTAATAACTATATACCGTATGTATAAATAGCTATTTTTAACAGTAATATGATCGTTATGGTAAATTAGTAATTACTATAAAAT